TGAGATGGCGTTCCCCAACTCCAGCGACGACAATGGCTACGACCTAGACATCGTCGGGTCCCCGGAATACCAGATTCCACCGCCGCAGCTCACACTCCTGCAGCGCCTACTCTTCCGCAATCCCGATAACTACTCTAACAATGTGAAAGCGATGCTCGACACCGCTGCAGCAGGCATGGGCCGCCAACCCACCCAGGATGAGGTCAACGTCCTCAGCCAACTAGCCTACAAAGAAGCCGCAACCGCGGCATGGACTGTCCCCGTCACCGTTGCGTTGGCCGGCTTCTTGACATGGCAAACCCGCGGCACCTACCGCTTCCCTTTTTGGCAACCCAAGTTTATCAAATTCACTCCCGATGCCTTTCCAAGTGCCTCTAGGCCGCTTCTCCAGGGTCGTCTGGCGAACCGCGCATGGCACAATACAAGATTTACGGCCTACTTCCTCCTCACCAGTCTCGGCATCGCTCCTTTTGTCGCCTCATATGCCACTTCAGTGGCCATGGCATCCGCCGCTCGAGATGAGCGCCTCAACCAGTTCCGCAAGGACATGAAGCCGGAGAGGCTGGTCCAGATGACGGCCGACAAAATGCCAGCCACCGCCTTGAAGCGCCAGCGCCAGCGAACTGCGGAAGCCATCAGCCAACTCGAAAAGTCGCTGGCCGCGTTGCCCCAGTCGGATGAAAAGATCAGGGAAACAACTCCGCTCATACAGAAAAGGATTGATGAGTATCGCAAGATACTGGCCCACATTGATGCAATCCTCGAGAGGAGGGGCGAAGGCAGCGCTGGGGACGACGGGTCAGCGCAGAACAGGGACTACGAGACACTCTCTGCTTCGAGCTCTACGGGAGGGTACAGTTTACCCTCGGAATCCAACTACTCTTCTCCGACAAGCTACTCGAGAGATCCGCCATCTTCCGAGGGCCGATCAGGATGGGGCTCGGGCCAGCAGAGCTCTCCCCAGCGAAGCAGCAGCAGATCCTCAGACGACTTGGACTATGATGATGCATCACCTCTTTCGCCCGCCGCGAGAGCCCAGTCATCATCACCCTCTAGCACCGGCTCAGCGTGGGATCGCCTGCGGCAAGCCTCGAGACAGCCTCCGCGAGCTTCTGGGAATGCCAACCAGAGCCAACAGGAAGAGGCTAAGGGTGCCGATTACTATGCGTACGATGCCGCTGAAAAGGAGAGGAATGCGGAGAAGGATAAGGCCCAGGCCGAGTTTGACGCAATGCTCGAGCGGGAAAGAAGAGGTAACGCGGGGCAGGGCAGTGAGCGGAATAGCCGATGGTGATGTGTACCTCTGTTACATGTAATGACACGTTATTTACGGTCGAGATTGTAGAGTGATTGTTGTAAGGTCATGCTTGTGTATACCTGTATTAACATAAGCGTACTCCAACCTGTATCATTTCCTTAGGCTCCCTCACGCCGCAAGTTTGCCAGAGGGAGGAGAGGTATACAATTGATCCATAAACGTCGAATTGTCACCAAGGCTCATGACGTGGCGGGGAATGTCCTCGTTTGAATTGCCCCGCGCCCATGGGTCACGAGTTCGACTCTCGTGAAAAATCACTAGCACCGATACAACTGAGGAATAGTACGTAAGGAGTGAGCCTGGTGATTTTCGTAGGCCCCCCGTGAGGGGGGCTGAGCTTTTGCATTCTTATCCCTTTTTCTATATGAATTACGTACTTTTTCCTTTCTTCCACTGATTCTTTCATTGATTGGAATAATATAATTCCCCTTCCGCGCGATGGTCGAGGTGAGAGGAGGGAAGCGGGTACGGGGGATGTGGTAGGGCGGCGATGCGGCGTGGTAACTGGAGATACGTATTAAATAAGAGAACAATTGTTTTAGACGACAACGAAGTTTCTGTGGCGAATGCCATGAAGCGATTGTTGCTTGGTGATCATTGCATATCTATGTAGATTTGACTGTATTCTAAACTCTGTCCGAGTCCTATGTACGGCCCGGTCATATTAAGACTATACGGGTATTTTTTTCTCGACTATGGCTAATCCCTTTCCCCCTAACTTTTCCCTTCTCCGTGTCTTTCCACTGATCCCTTGTTCTCGACTATCAAAACTCCCCGAAATCTGTCTTTCTATTTTTCCAACCCTCAAAACGTAAAATGCGTCGGCCGCCAAAAGCTCGGATCCCATCGATGCCACGCCGCCGTCTTGGGCGGCGTCTTACTCCACCACTCCCGGAACTGCGGCGCGCCAACCTCGTCCCCGAACCGCTGCGCAAGCCTCGGCATAAAGGTACTCATCGACATCCCCGGCGTCAGCAACCCATCGTCCGTCTCAGCAAAGCTGAAATGCGACGCCCGCGCCCTCCAGCCCCTCTTCTCCGCCGCCGCCGCCACGGAGGCCGCGACCTCGTCTTGCTCCGCCTCCCCCGGGACGGTAGTAGCAAACTCGGCCACGGCGCCCGCGAGCCCGACGTAAAACGAGTCCGACGCGTCCGACGCCTTCGCCAGAGAGAAAACCCGGCTCGTCGACGACCGGGCTGCGTCCCGGAAGGGCATCACGTGGAAGCGGTAGTTGGGACGGTAGTAATCCCTCCTGGAGTACTCGTGCCAGACGCATGCCCTCCCGCGCGGGTGATCGCACCCGACGCCGCGCATGCTCAGGGAGCGGCTGCTAGTGCCCCTTAGAGGATCCGGGAAGGGGGTGCCGGACCAGCACGGCAGGGCGGCGGAGTGGTGGTACGACTTGGACCAGCGGAAGTCGAATACTTTGAGGGCCTCGAGCTCGTTGCTGCCCGCGACGAAGTGATCCGAGCCGTAGGTTAGAAGGGACGAGTGCGTCTCAAAGGGCTGGTACATGTCGCGGTAGAGGACGTCGTATGGAGACGGGGTGCGGATGTCGAGGAGGCGGATAGTGCCGTCGTCCCAGGCGCTGAGGAGGAGGTTCGTGTGACCTGCGCCTGCGGGGCCCGGGTTCACGGGCTGGATGGCGCGGACGGTCTGTTTCTTTTCCGTGTCGATGCCGCGGGAGGCGAGGAGGGAGTGATTTTTGGAGGCGAGGTTGAGGGTGAAGCCTGAGGGTGTGACGGTGAGGTAGCGAATCGGGTCCGTGTCGTTGGAGAGGGCGCAGACGATGGTGTCGTTGTTGAGGGCTTTTGCAGAGTGAACGAACTGCTTCCTGTCGCCCTGGCCTGGGACGTTAAAGGTCTGCGAGTCGAGCGGGAGGGCGGCGGTGGCGGCCCCGGTCTCGTCTGCGTCCAAGGAGAAGAGACTAACGGTGGCGCGGTTGCCCGCGATCACTGAAGTCTGGTTCGGTAAGGTGTCAATGGACCCGATAGACGTCCAAGTGGTAGCCTCGAGACCTCCAGTGGGCGTGGGAATCTTAAAGGTCGAGAGAGCCTTGCCGGCGCTACCGGGGGCCGCCGACACGAGGTGCAAATCCCCATTTGCCCTGCCGACGAGGAGACCCAGCTTCCCATTGGGCTCGGTCAGGTGGATGGCGGTTACATCACCCACGCCCGCTTCGTAGCCGTTCGTCTTGCCCTCCATACGGAACCAGGCGTCGGACTCGCCGCGACTGTTGTGAGGCCTGAAGCGGCCCACGACGTCCTCTCCAGCGCCCCACGTGGCAAGCTCCCAGCTCTTGTCAAAGACGAGGCGAGCATCGATGACGGGGTAGAAGGGACGGCCGGCGTTAGTGAAGCCCGTGAAGTAGTTCCCGTCCTGGCGGCGGTCGTCCGTGTAGGCGGTCGTCTGGAAGGCCTTCATGTCCCATGCGCGGGCCTGACGGGTGAGGGTGTTTGCCAGCTCATCCCATTTGGGCGGAGTCTTGCCTAGTGGCAGGGAGTGCAGGGGAAAGCAGGTCCTGACGAAGGTGCGCCAACCGTCCTCGTTGAGGAGGGAGTGCAGGTGTTTACACGACGATGCCAGGCGGGCTACATCGCGTGCGGTTCTGAGATGGGAGACGATCTCCAAGACGATGTCGTCTGGGAGTTGGTCAAACATTTCTTCTTTGGTTTTCAAGAGTCTCTTCTGAAGACTCTCTTTATTTGGTTTGATGGTTGGTATCTGAGTGACATGGAGTGTAAGAGGGATGCCAACTGAGATATGATGAGAGAGGGATAGGCTCGGAGAGAAGGGGGCTTGGTGTTGAGATATCCGTACTGACGAGTGAGATGTGTATGTGATGGATGTGAAAAGTGACAAGGGAGTGGACAAAGTCTTCTAGCTAAGGTTGTGTGGGTAATTTCGTGAAGCAACTCGTACAAGAAACCTAGTTCCAGACCATGTATTCTTCCTGTATAAATATATCAAAAGTCTTTCATCAAATCCCGGGGACGGCAACAACCGAAAGCTATTGAAAGAGTGGTAAGAAATTGGTTGACGTTGAAGTTGTCAGCCAGCTCCACATACAAAGTACAAAAGAGTCACAGTGACCAGGCACCGTGCAGTGGCAGCCTGGAGTCAGGCCCTGTTAGGATTGGTCGGTTTTGTCTATGACACCACAGAGGCCCCCGGTAGTTGCATGTAAAGCGGCTACGGCGACCGTAAGCTCAGGGCGTGTTTTTAAGGTAGATGGCCAGTCTGCTCACACCCCATGGGTAGGTCATGGATGCGTGTACGTACCTTGGGCCTGGTCCGAGTTCATGAGACACCAAGTGACAAATGCAGTTGACCCCGCTGTTAGTGCAGGTCAATGACAACTCAGAGCAATTCCCAGATAACACTGGCGAGGGAAGTGATAAGCTCGACGATAACAATCACTTTGACTTCCTCTAGACTGGCTATGAGTCGGGCATAGGGCGTACTTGTCACTCGAGGCCCAGTTGCCGGATTTTCGAATGATTGCTACTATTTGTTTTATATTCGGGCTTGACCGACCTCAACACCTCGTCTCAATAGACGAAGGAGTCTAACTCGTTGACTTACACGAAAATCCCGGAGCTAGATCGCCGAATCGCACAGGAAATCAACTCACCCTTTGAATATATGAGTTAAAACATACCAGCAAGCTTCACTTACCAACATGGGCTTCAACTTGGTTCCCGTCGCAATTGCAAGCGCAGCAGCATGGCTACTCTACACCCTCATCCTACAACCACTCTTCCTTTCTCCCCTGTCCAAGATCCCGGCTCCACACTGGTCATGTCACATCTCCCCCCTCTGGATCTTATACACGCGGAAATCCAACCGCCAAAACCGCACTCTTCACAGAGCACACCTCAAGCTCGGCCCCGTCGTGCGCATCGGGCCCAACGAGCTCAGCGTCGACGGCTACGATGCCCTCAAGACGGTGTACCAGGGCGGCTTCGAGAAGGACCAGTGGTACTCCATCTTTAACAACTACGGGTGAGTCTACTTACCGGCGATCATGGGATATCTCAGTCACAAGAGAGAGCTGTCTGTTGCTAAACTACGTTCATAGCGTCCCAAACATGTTCTCGACACTCGCCTCAAAACCTCACTCCCTCCGCAAACGCATGGTCTCAAACGCCTACGCCAAATCCTTCATCCACGCCTCGGAACCCGCCAAAGCCCAAGCCCGCGCCATCCTCTTCGGCCGTCTCCTCCCCTTACTCTCCGCCTCATCATCCAGACACACCAAGATCACCAGCACCGACATCGACACCGGCAGCAGTAGCACCAGCAACCCCGGACCCTCCCCCGGCGCCGGCATCGACGTCTTCTCCACCTTCCTCGCCTCCACAATGGACTTCATAACAGCCTACACCTTTGGCCTCCGCAACAGCACAGATTTCCTCCGCAAAAAGGCCTACAGGGACCACTGGCTCCAACTCTACCTCGCGCGCGCGAGCCACGGCTTCTGGCCGCAGGAGACCCCGCGGCTGAACGCGCTCGTTACCCGGCTGGGGATGGGGCTGTGGAAGCTGTACCCGTCGTGGGTGGACGACGCCAACGCCGAGATTTGGGCTTGGAACTGGCGGCTCTGCGAGGGGGCGAGGGAGTACGTTGGTGGTAATCAGAAGGAGGGGGGAACTGCTGCTGCAGAAAAAGGAAAAGGTCAAGAAGACAAAAGAGACGTAGCGGACGAACCAGTCGTCCTCTGCGCAATGGAAGCCGGCATCGAAAAAGAGCGCCGCGTAAACGGGCAAGACTCCATCCTCTACCCGACGACAATCCTCCAAAAGAATGAATCAGTCGCCTCCGAAATCCTAGACCAGGTCCTAGCAGGCCAAGAGACGGCGGGGATAGCACTCACCTACCTCGCCTGGCACCTCTCCCGATCCCCAGGCCTCCAAAAGTCTCTCCGCCAAGAACTCCTCACCCTCTCACCAGACCTCAAAATGCCAATAAACGCAACAGAAACAAACGCAGCTTCTTTACCCGGCTCCCTCCCCGACCCAAAACACGTCGACGCCCTCCCCATCCTCCACGCCGTAATAATGGAGACCCTCCGCCTCCACGCCCCGATCCCCGGTCCGGAACCCCGCCAGACCCCACACTCGCATCCGCCCTGCCGCCTCGGCGACTTCCACGTTCCCGGCGGCGTCCGCGTCGCGGCGCTGGGGTACACCCTCCACCGCAACGCAGCCGTCTTCCCGGACCCGGAAGTCTGGGATCACACCCGCTGGCTCGCGTGGAACACGAGTGAGGCGCAGCGGAGGGAGATGTTGCGGTATTTCTGGGCTTTCGGGAGCGGGGGAAGGATGTGCGTTGGGTCGAATTTTGCAATGAATGGTGAGCCTTCCCGTCATGTCTGGTCAAACTCATCTTCTTGTGCCAGAGAGTTCTGCCTTTACTGACTTGTTTCACTACTCTCCAGAGATGAAACTCATAGCCGCAGCAATCTGGACGAATTTCACGACGCATGTGGTTGATGATACGGGTATCGAGCAGGATGACACTTACACGGCGCGGCCCGTAGGCGAGCGCTTGATTCTACGATTTGAACATGTAGAGTAAGAAAATGTTGGGAGCGGTGGTTTAACATCTAATGACATGCTTCAGAATCGCTGGCTGATTCGGAGGGAGCACTAATGGAAAGAGGTTTTTGGAAAGTAAAAAGGTCCAGCTTTCCTGGTGGTGACCTCCCCGAGTCGCTTATATCATTGATCATATGTAGGGAGGGCTGGTATGTTCCCAAGGTGAGTTATTTTCCTCTCGAGAGCGCTTTGAAAAACACCGGTATCCCGTCTTTGGACACCAGTCACGAATCAACGCAGACGTGAACCTGTACCTGGCCTTAGCTGAAGAGCCAACGGCTGGATATATACTGTAGTTGTTCATAAACCAACTCCATGTCGCGGGAAATCGTTTATACATTCCATCAAGCGCAACGAGTTCGTCAGGAATAAGTAGTCACAGGGACAATGCCGCGGCATTTGAAAAATAAACAATGTAAAGTAAGAACCGAATCGAATTATTCTCTATTTTCTATGCTAGATGTAGGTTAGTAGCTTAGTTCAGATCTCGCAGGTTCAGCAACAAGGCAAACATCTCTCAGAGTCAGCACTCCCCCTCATAGCCTACAATCAATCACAAGCATGCAAACTGCGTCGTCATACCACACGTGCAAATGTACTCACCCTCTACAACATGGCCTATTTTCCACACGAGACACTTAGAGGTGCGCAAGGCAGTGCCTCATCCCATGTGCCGGCCATGCTGTCCTTCATATCAGGAGCTGCGCTTAGTCTTACATCATTACCTTGGGAAACACTTGACAAAATCACGCACCAGGCTATGTATGCGATCATCCACAAGCCGACGCGGAAGGCGAGGCTGTCCTTCCATCGGAAAGAGACAACAAACGCAGTATCAAATTGCTACCTATTCAACAAATCGCTGCAACGTCATACGGCAAAGTTAGGGAACGTGAAAGTATAGCTGGATGACCCGAAAACCATCAAACCGAAAAAAAAACTTTACGCCAACAGAATGCCGGTCTAGTGCTGTTTTTTTTTTGCGTCATGACACACCAATCACTCACTCTCGTACCGGCCACTCTGCAACATTTTATGCCGCTTCGCCTCCGGTTTGCTTCACATTAACAGGCTCGACGTCGGCACCCTTCTCGAGAGTCGCCTCGACCACAGGCTCGCCAGCAGTATTAGCCGCCAGGGTCTTCACGACCTCCTTCGGCGCCTCAGCCCCATCTTCAGCTTCCACAGGCTTAGGAACCTCAGCCTCGGCCACTCCCGCAGTCTCTGCAGCAGGTTCCGTAGTGGCGGGCACCTCGGGTGCTTCCGTCTTGGCCGAGACGACTTCAGGCTTGATCTCCTTGGTCTCTGCAGCCGTGCTGGCGACCTCGGGAACCGGCTCCTTGGTGGGTTCTTCTTTGGAACCGTCGTCGACCTCTAGAACACCGCTATCGCCAATGCTCCAGCAGATTCTGAGAGGAGAGAATGAGAGTGTAGGTCCGGACTTGGCCTCAACGGCTGCGGGAGCTGGGCTCTTCGCCGCCGGAGCCCTACGCTGGGGACCACGAGCACGACCTTTCCTAGCATCAGCGAGGGGCGCCTTCTCCTTCTCCTCAGCAACATCCGCCGCAGGGGGTTCTTCCTTCTTCGGAGCTGTAGGTCCCAACTGAAGGCGCTTGTTAAGGTCAGACAAGAAACCGGCCTGGAGCGCTGCGATCTTGCCTCCGGCAGGTTTGCCAGGAATAGCTGGCTTCTGCTTGGGAGCAGAGTCTTGCTCCTTGGAGTCGACGCCGGAAGGAAGGGTCTTGGTAGGGCGAGCAGGAATCTGAGGTTTTGACTTCTCCGAGACAGCCGGCTTAGCCTTATCCTCACTTGTCGAGTTCTGTTTTCTTGGCCGCTCAGGAATGGAAGGTGGTTCTGCGGTAGCGCTCGATTGTGAACCCTTCTTCTGCGGGCGTGCTGGCACAAACGGCTTTTCTACCGGGGACTCATCCTTTGGCTCAGGTGTGTCCACGATAGCCTCGTGCATGGCGCTTTCTGGCGTATCCTCCCAGACGTCGCGACTGGGAAACCGGTTCGACATGATCGGGCGAGCCTCTTCCTTCGCCTTCTGGAGAGCGGCAGGCACTGGCTTCATCTGCTTTGCATCTACCCCACGGCCTTCCTGCTCTGCGAGTTCTTCTTGTCTGCGCGCAAACTCCAAGGCGGGGTTTTCTGTGGGAAGTTCGGAACGGCGTCTGGAGGAAGGTCGTTCTGATTCTGTGGGCTCCGGGGTCGAAACTTCGGCGGTATAGTTGACGCTATCAGGGGCGTCCTCCCAGACGTCCTTGCTTGGGAACTTGTGACGAGGCTTCGAGCTGGCTGCCTCGGCCTCAGACTTCTTGCCCTCCGGGCGCTCCTCGTCGAAGAGTGGCTCGTACTCTTCAACATCCTCAAGTGGGGTGTGTACCAGGTCGGTTTGTGACTGGTTGTTGTTGTAAATACTAGTGGGTCGACTTGTGGGACGGTTCGGCTTCTCCATCTCAAAGGCACTGCCGGAGCGCTCTGGTGGGGGCTCAACAGCGGGCTGGAGGTCGTACGGGTGGACGTCTCCTCCAGACTCGTCTTCGGCCAGAATAGGTGCGTTGTACTTGTTCTCGTGTCCAGGGTCGTGCGACACGAAACTCCTGCGGCGGTTGTGAGATTCGTCGACGTGGACGATACCGTCATCGCTTCCGGCAGCATTGTCCGGAGAAGACACAGAAACCTGAGGATGAGAATCCTTCGAAGGACTTTGAGGAGACTTGATGCGCTGAAGTTCAGGGGAGGAGATGCGAGAGGTGTACTCTGCAGAAGCCTGGTATCCAACTTCCTCGCTGGGGGTGCCAACATATGAAGCGGAGGTTCCTGTTCAAGTTAGTGACTGCCTCTATACTCGTGGAATTATGTTTGCACGACTTACCCATGCCAGAACCACGACTGTGGGTCTCCTTGACAATCTTGTTCAGATCCGTGCTGCTCATGGCGTAGTCGTTTTGGCGATCGTGGAGAGAAGGCTTGCAGTCCTTCTTCAGGAAATCTGGGTGCTTGTCGTACCAGGCCTTCTCAAACTTGTCGGTGGGCAAAGCTGTGCTGTGGCCATGAAGACCGTAACTGCCAGGAGGGAGCTCGTTGAAACCACGCGAGCTGTGCTTGCGGGAGTGGTTTCGCGGAGTTCCCGACCTGAGGCTCTCGGGAGCAGCGCCAGAACCAGGAGCAGGAGAAGGAGCCTGGACGTCACCCAAGTGGGGGTTCATGGGAACACGCTGGCCAATCTCGGGGATGCCATGCTCCTCATCGCCGTAGGCACTCTCTGACTTTTGAGACAGGGCACTCGAGCTGGCCTTCTTCCTGAGACTGCTGGGTCTGGTGTCGTCACTGCTGGGCTTGCCAATGCCAAAGGAGGCAGCCTTATCCGAATCGGTGCGGGTCACTGCCATAACTCTCTGTTTGGCACTCTGAGCCGGAACAGTGGGCTTAGGAGCGTGAAGCTTCAGATCTTCCGCAGCGAAGCGGGTGTGTTCAGGAGATGAAGGTGCCTTGGGAGGCGGCTTGACAAATCCATCGTTGATGGCATCGTATTCGTTACCCTCCTCACCAACGGAAGGCATAGACACGCTACCGGGGCGGTGATGGATGGGGTCGTGAGAAGAGAGGAAGCCATTGCTCGGCGAGGAACGAGTAGCCTTGGGGCTCTTTGAGAAAGGGCTCTCGTTCAGTGGAGAGGGCGCATATCGATCGGGATTCGGAGAGACGGAGCGGTCGAAACGCTTGATGGGACGAGGAGGGATTTTGGGGAGAGACGAAGTGTTGGTGTTCTCCTCCTTATCCTGACTCCTAGAAGGTCGGGGAGGGATAATCGGTTGTTGTACTGATGCGGTAGACATTTTGACTGTGTAGTTTGTCGAATACGTAGAAAAGAGAAATACAACGACTTGCAGCCGAGTTGAAGATGATCGGGGGTGCTGCTGGGTGTAGTAGTCGGGGCTGGACGAGCTTTTGATCTAGGCGCGACTAAGAGGGCGCAACAAGTAACAGGGAGCCTAGAGAGCGCGGAAGCTGCAATTAGTACATGGATTTGAGGCGGTGTGTCAAAGCAAAGAGCAGAACGTGCTCCCTTCCCCCTTGTTCAGGCGATTGGTGTGTATTCTGTAGCCGCCTTGTTTTCTAGTGTGGGTGGCAGCTGAAGGCGAGATAACAAGACTGGAGAAAGTGGAATAGGGTGAATTTAACAGGCAAAACAAGACAGGCAGGAGCGGGGAGAGAAGACAAGACAAGACAACACAAGCACCGGATGGGCGACCGGAAGAATGCAGCCTTGCTGGGAACAGCGGGTTTGAGTTTTGACGCTCAATCTTTGTTGATAAGGTAAGTGATTTCCCGATGATAAGACGGTGTCATATCACGAGTAAGGTAAGGTACACGAGGGAGGCTTTTGCACCACAAGCAGGTAAAAGCCTCCAGAGAGCTCCATTACAGGAGACTCGCACACACCGAAAGATGGTGATAGCTGAGTCCGCCCCGGCTGAAAAAGCGCAAGGTGGGCCTGCCTGCCCTGTCCTTCCCCAACACCTGCATCAAGCAGGGCGATGGTTATGGTTTTGGTGGTGGTGTGCTGACAATGTGCAGCAAAGCATTGGACGACCACTTGGAGGAGGAAGAGGAGGGTTGTGTGGGCGGAGGAGTAGGGATACCAGTACGGAGTAGTAGCAGTAAACCAAGCTCAGCAAACCGGGGGAAGGGTTGTTGATTGCCGTATGGTGCGGGAGAGGGAGGGAGGGAAGTCCGGTGGGAAACCAACAATGACGAGTGCGGTCTGGCAGGACGGAGTCCACTTACAGCTTCCTAAAGGTGAGAGATAAGAGATAAGGTGAATTGAGGTGGTGGGAGTGAGACCCTAAAGAGCTGGGCTATTCCGTGATGCTGTGTGGAATTGGTGTTATCGTAACGCTCGCGAGGTGAAGGGCAAATGGAAGATGGTGAGAGAGTTGATTTGTATGCTGAGTACACACATTGAACAGATGA